TGCATTTCCTTTGTTTTAACTGTTTGATTCTCTGATCTGTGTTGGTGAATCAACAGTTTTGTAAAGCCCTCCGAGATAACTCCTGTTGTGATTTAGGGCTACACAAAAAATAACTTGAATTGAATGGAAGACTATTATGGGAATTAGATAGCTATACAAGTGATCTGGCCTTTCTTAGGTCACAACAACCCGATAGTTTGTGACTTCTTGTTACTCACACGGCAATAAAAAGATTCTGATTCTGATTGTGTATCTGCTATGATTGTGTATCCATGTTATGACTCTAATATGTTCTGATTGTCTCTTGATGTGACACGTATGCCTTTCGATGTGTGACATATGTGTGATGTATGTAACGTTGACTATATAGAGCTTGTTCTGTCTGAAAACACCCTGAAAGAACCCAAGAATGAACTTCCAGGTGGTTCTGGTGCTTAAAGATCCCGTCTCTGTGAGGTTCATTTTCCACACTATGTCCCTGTAACATGACCAGTAACACACCAGCACCTTTCCCTCATTCAACACTGTCAAAACAAAGGCTTTCAGTGTTCAGTGGCTGCAAGGTAAAACCGTTTCTTTTCTTTCTCATCCTGTTTTCAGATTGAGTGTCGCTTGCCTCCACCCTGCACCTCCTCCTGACAGCTCCTGAAGGGCCCATCCCCAGCTCCCAGACCTGACACCGTCTTACATAACCCAGGAGCACTCAACCCTCTCCCATCATGGATTATTGATGCACTCTGCAGGGCAAAGACAGACCACACCGAGACCACTGGTGCGTTTACTATTCTCTCTCCTCTCTCCTCAGCGTTCCAGTAGCAGCCATGACGGGGATTCCCTCCTCACCCATGTACACTTTGCTCCGGCGGCCTCTGCGTTCTGATAATCCGCCGAGCAGTGATTTGTTTGTGAATGCGCTCGGCTGATAACGGTTCCGAAAAGCGCTCCAGTGAAGTCGTTTCTGCATCAATCTGCATAACAATGAGGACGTTGTCTTTGAGCCTGTTTTGTGTCACTCGCTTTAGCAGCAGCTGAGACGTGCGGAAAGTTATGTGGGGAAAAAACAGTGATGCAAGTTCAGGGATGTCTAAAGGCAAAGGCCAGTTATATATTATTATGTCTTGCTAAATTGTTCCCTCCTCGGAAATAGACATGGGGTTGTTTTAGGTTCAATTAAAGAAGCAGTATGTGAAAATCCGGCTAAAAGTGGTACTACAACCTCTCCCACTCTCCCTGACTCAGGTTGCCAGATATGCAGACGAATCCAGCTGGGACCATAATAATACTAACTGAAAAGACCAGAGTTTTGTCAACAACAAATCTATAACCAACACCTTTTTTCACAACGATAGAAATCCTGGTTTTATTCCTTGTTTTGTCATGAATGAGTTGAGAATCATAACAAGACCTTTTTTAGTTCTGCGGCCACATGGTACTTTATCTGTCAGATTAGCTCGACGCGGGGAGTTCTGGCAACCCGGATCACGGACTTTCTGATAGGTAAAACGGTGGAGGGCGGGACATCGAACACAGAAATGCAATAATAACAAGCACATAAGAGTCAGTGGTGCATAGAGAACAGGGTGACTAATGTCCATAGATGTGTATGTCCTGGATCGTCCCGGCTGCATTGGCATAGAACTAAAATAAACATGGGAAAATAGTGATAAGTTTGATCTAGTAAAATTTGGACTCATCTTTCAACCCAACATTGTGTTTGTGTGACTCAAACTGTTACTGAGGTCGAGGAGCTGGAGAAAAACTTCACCGATAGCTCTTCTTCATGGGTTTTGCTGAGCGTGTTAGCATTGACCATTTAAATACAGTCTATGAGCAAAACACTAAATTGGGTTTGTGTGCCCGGTGCCAAAACATGTTCTGTCCCAGAGATGTGCTCCTTAGCAACTGTTTCCACGGTTACAAAGTTGCTCCCAGTTTCACCCCCTGCCTCCTTCGCTGTAAGTCACACAAATGCCTCCAGCCACAAGAGCAGCGGCAGCAGCGACAACAGTCTGTGATTCTGACGAGTCCTGAAAACACACGGCTTCTTTGCACTTGGAGGTATTGTATCTGCTCCTTTTGCTCAGTTGGATTAGCATTTTCAAAAGTATAGAAACTGGGATATTAATCAATACTAAAACTAGGATTTAAACTATACATATTTTTTTTACTGTTTATTCATGTAAACTAACTAAAGTGAAACTATAGAAACTAAATAAAAAGACATACACAGGCAAGGCAAGTTTATTTGTATAGCACCGCGCATACAGAAGGAAATTCAGAGTGCTCCTCAGAGTTGTTTCATATGGGACTACCATGTCACAGATGTAGTTTTGGTGCGAGGCCATGGAGACACAGAGCTGCTAAACACATTCAAGGTCTTTCTATCTTGAAATCATAGGAAATGTAGGAATAATGACGGCATCATTCCTAAATTTCCTGTTTTTCTACAATCATAATGAGCAGTAACGCTTTTAAGGATCCTAACAGTTTATAAAAAACTAGAGTGATGAAGTTCAATTAAATTCAATTATTTTTGTACAGCCCTGTATCAAAATAAAAGTCGATTCCTCAGGAAAAGATCAGAGAATCAAACAGTTCGAACACAGGAAATGCGATGATAACAAACACAGAAGCCATTAGTCTATAGAGAGAAGGATGACCACTGTCCACAAACGTTAATAAATGTCCTTAAATGTCCCGGATCCTCGTTGTCCTCCTTCATCTGCAAGAAGGAACTCAGAACCCTGTGGGAAAACATGCTGCGCTCTCGTTGTAAATAAAAAATTCATGTCCTCAGCCTGAACCTCCATCCGATACGCTCATCCTAACAGCCCCAAAGTTTTAGAGCAAATGCAAAATGAATCACTGCCTCTGGTTCAAAAACATGTAAAATACTGAGCCTCTTTCACTCATCCCCCCATTGTTTTCTTTGATTTGGCAAAAGTGTGTGTGTGTGTGTGTGTGTGTGTGTGGAGCAGTACATTGTGCAAAATTATTATTAATTTGTAGAATATAATTAAAAATAAATAAAAAAGGGACAGATAATAAGCATAATACTGGATAAATAATAGTAAGTTTTAACCTTTTGGTATAGATAAGACAAGGGATGAGTTGCAGTTAAAAAAAAGAAATGGTACGGTAATTAATGCAAAATATGACAAACAATAATAATAATACTAAGAATAATTTACTAGACATATCTTTATTACGATCATTGAGATCATGTTGTTTTCGAAAGGTTTCTCAAAAATAACAACACAAGTAGCAGCAGCGGTTGTCAAATAAATGCAGTTAAATTATAGTGTAATTACAAAAAGTTACAGTAAATAAATTCAATAAAACAACAGACAAAACAAAAACAATTAAGCCTCCCATTATTTTTTATAGAACAATGAGTTGAAAGAGTGATAATAGTCACAGATTCTTTCAAATCAACATGAATACATTGTGTTTGGGTCTGAAAAGGGTAATTATACTGATGCGCTAAAGGCTGCCGGCCACAATCAGACTGAATGCAAGCTACAGATATGTGCTATTTATACCCTTTCTAAAAATAGCCATTCTTCTCCATAGAAACGTGAAATCCTCTGGCTGCAGTGTGTGTCAGTGTGTGTGTGTGTGTGTGTGTGTGTGTGTTGAGAAAAGATTGTGCTTTTCTCTATGCGTCTTAAAAGGTGTGGGTATATAACTGTCTGAGGGAGGCTTCCTTGGGGATCTCCTTTCGGCTGGAGAGGCTGTTAGCAGAATCTCCTGTAGCGTTCTTTCCACTCTCCTCCCGTTTAACAAGCGAGAAATCAATGCGAGATCCACCTCCTGACGCCTTTGAGTTGATGCAAGTTTTACGCCTTCATCCCAGGGTCAGTTGTTTAACTTAAAGGATGTATATTATGCATAAGTTTAGGAAGATTCATCTTGTCGTCTTCAAAGTATTGGGTTCTTCTATACCAGACACTATAAGGTTTTGTGATTATACAAGGAAACAACATCAGAAAACCTTATGTTGTCTGGTATTGAAGAACCCAATACTTTTAATTATATTATGCATTGTTTTTGCACATTAGAATTGATAGTCTTTTTACGTACTTCATGTCATGTTAAGTACAATATAAAGTCATTTCTATCTTAATGGTAAATAAATGCTAACTTCCTGTGCTACCACCAGAAGGATGAGAAGAAGAAGGTCCTTTATTCGTCCAACAATGGGTAATTTTCACTTTGATACATACACAGATACATATACACATCAAGGCAAGCAGCGAACATCACTTCCGCGCTCCTTACAGGCAAAGTGGATTAAGTGTCTTGCCCAAGGACACAACGACAGCAGTGAGAGTTGGTGGGAAAGATCTCGTGGTGGGCTCCAACCCACGACCTTCAGGCTTAAAGACCAATGCTCTACCAACTGAGCCACTGTCACCCAAGTTAACTTTGTTTTGTCTTTTCCAAATTTGAGAATGACCTGCTACAAACACGTTGCCATGTGGCTGAACAGAATGTAATTTAACATGAGAAAAACCAAAACAAATGAGTGGGCAATACTTTTGATATAAAAGGCATAAAACTGCTCTGAGTGTAATGGGATAATGCAGGGGTCACTGTCTCAAACAAATCTTGGTAGGCATTATAAATTGATGAATTGAATTTTTTCTGGGTTTTTTGTGTGCTAAAAAAACATGTTGTGTTCTGACCATTTTTCCAAACCACAAAACATATCAGAAACACAAGAAGCTTCCCTAAAGACAAACCAGTTTTCCGTATTATTCATATTCTTATGGAAAGCATATCTACAGGCAGAGTCCCAGCGTCCTCTCGTCTCTCTCCACCGCTGGCATTTCTGTGTCTGTGTGTGATGCTATCGCTCTCCAGAGCAGACTGAGTGGATTGTCCTTGAACACAGCCATTGTCCTGATGCACCGACGGATATCCCTGGAGATTAAATCATGGTGTTCATTCTACTGGGGCCCGGGTGAGTCTATGTGAGGGTGGGGCTGTGTGAGTCTATGAAGGTGGGTGAGTCTATGGGCCTGGGTAAGTCTATGAGGGTGGATGAGTCTATGGGCCTGGGTAAGTCTATGAGGGTGGGTGAGTCTATGGGCCTGGGTAAGTCTATGAGGGTGGGTGAGTCTATGGGCCTGGGTAAGTCTATGAGGGTGGATGAGTCTATGGGCCTGGGTAAGTCTATGAGGGTGGGTGAGTCTATGGGCCTGGGTAAGTCTATGAGGGTGGATGAGTCTATGGGCCTGGGTAAGTCTATGAGGGTGGGTGAGTCTATGGGCCTGGGGGGAGTCTGTGATGGGTGAGTCTATGGTTTGGGTTAAGTCTATTGTCTGGTAAGGTCTGGGTTAAGTCTATTGTCTGGTAAGGTCCGGGTTAAGTCTATTGTCTGGTATGGTCCGGGTTAAGTCTATTGTCTGGTATGGTCCGGGTTAAGTCTATTGTCTGGTATGGTCTGGGTTAAGTCTATTGTCTGGTAAGGTCTGGGTTAAGTCTATTGTCTGGTATGGTCCGGGTTAAGTCTATTGTCTGGTATGGTTTGGGTTAAGTCTATTGTCTGGTATGGTCCGGGTTAAGTCTATTGTCTGGTATGGTCTGGGTTAAGTCTATTGTCTGGTAAGGTCTGGGTTAAGTCTATTGTCTGGTATGGTCCGGGTTAAGTCTATTGTCTGGTATGGTTTGGGTTAAGTCTATTGTCTGGTATGGTCCGGGTTAAGTCTATTGTCTGGTATGGTCTGGGTTAAGTCTATTGTCTGGTATGGTCCGGTTAAGTCTATTGTCTGGTATGGTTTGGGTTAAGTCTATTGTCTGGTATGGTCCGGGTTAAGTCTATTGTCTGGTATGGTCTGGGTTAAGTCTATTGTCTGGTATGGTTTGGGTTAAGTCTATTGTCTGGTATGGTCCGGGTTAAGTCTATTGTCTGGTATGGTCTGGGTTAAGTCTATTGTCTGGTAAGGTCTGGGTTAAGTCTATTGTCTGGTATGGTCCGGGTTAAGTCTATTGTCTGGTATGGTTTGGGTTAAGTCTATTGTCTGGTATGGTCTGGGTTAAGTCTATTGTCTGGTATGGTCCGGGTTAAGTCTATTGTCTGGTATGGTTTGGGTTAAGTCTATTGTCTGGTATGGTCCGGGTTAAGTCTATTGTCTGGTATGGTCTGGGTTAAGTCTATTGTCTGGTATGGTTTGGGTTAAGTCTATTGTCTGGTAAGGTTTGGGTTAAGTCTATTGTCTGGTATGGTCCGGGTTAAGTCTATTGTCTGGTATGGTCCGGGTTAAGTCTATTGTCTGGTATGGTCTGGGTTAAGTCTATTGTCTGGTATGGTCTGGGTTAAGTCTATGGGGTCGTTCTTTCCCTGAGTGGAACGACTATTTCTGTCTGAGAATGTATGAGACAATGATGAGCTTCATTCATCTAAAACAGTAAGAAAGAGTCATTGCACGTCTGGATCCACTCCGTCCACTCTGTGTCACATCAAAGGCCCTGAAACCGCCATCAAAGACCGCAATCTTCAGAGACAGAGGTTTGTTCATTTGTCTGGGGAAATGACACAATCATCACAGATAAATAAACACCAGGATCACACAGAGCAGTGATCTATGGATTTTTTTGTTCAAACATGGAAAGTGTGATATGAGCAGGAGCAAAACCATGAGTAATTTTCTATTAGGCTTCATGGAGCTAGCAGGTTAGCATTGTCCACACTGTCTATGGCCTACTCAACCTGCGGACCAGGGACCAAATCCAGCACACAGTCCTCCTTCTAGATACACAAAAACATTAAAAACGTATACTAACAACAACAAATCATGGAGAACACACATGTAATAGTACATTATGGTATGATACACAATACTCTAATTGTCAACATTCATCCACATTTACAGTTCCTCTCGCTCCTTATGGACCAATGGCTCCTTAGTGTTTGTTAATATAGACCACAGTTATTTAGAAAAAAATAATAAAAATAATAATACTAATAATAATAAAAATAAAATAAGATGCCATGAGGGGAGAAAATAAGTAAAAATAAATATAAAGGTAATAATAATAATAAGGAAATTAATAAAGATATAAACAGGAAATAAAATAAACAATAAATAAAAAAAGGAGCGACAGTAGCTCAGTTGGTAGAGCATTGGCCTTAAGGCCAGAAGGTCGTGGGTTCAATTCCCACCTTCTCCACCGACTCCCACTGATGACTGCTGTCGTTGTTTCCTTGGGCAAGACACTTAACCCCACTTTGCCCAAAGCTCCCACTGAAATATCAAGGCTATGCTCACACTCAGAGAGCAGCCGTCCTCCTGTGGACTCACCACCTGCAGAGGGTCAGTGAGGGGCTGGTGCTATGAGACTTGGGTGGCATCTCTGACTGCCACCCCCCTGACCCAGAAATGGATTAAAGGGTAGAAAATGGATGGAAATGGATGAATAAATAAAAAACAAACATAAAGAAAAAGAGAAAAAAAAAACACAAAAAGGTATGTGTTAAACTTCTAAATCCTTTGGGGAGCTACCTGCCTGAAAGGGGCTGGGAGCTACTGGTTGCAGACCCCGATAGATAGATAGATAGATACAGTAGATAGATAGATACATACAGTAGATAGATAGATACATACAGTAGATAGATAGATAGATACAGTAGATAGATAGATACATACAGTAGATAGATAGATACATACAGTAGATAGATAGATAGATACAGTAGATAGATAGATAGATACAGTAGATAGATAGATACAGTAGATAGATAGATACATACAGTAGATTGATAGATAGATATATAGATAGATAGATATGTTATTTTTCCCCGTAGGAGAAACTCATGTGTCCAGTAGCAGAAACCCATCAATCCATACAAACAAAACAAATAAATAGATCATTCTAAAAAGTAGCTATCAAGAGTAACAAAATGCAACAGCACTAGGTCACAGCAGCAGTAGTATACGCAGTAGACCCACCGATCCAAACCAAATCAACACGATTAAATAATCTTGAAATAACAGGGTGAAAGCAACAGCAGCATACAGTAGTCTAAAACTATTGCCCCTAATCGTCCCCATTAACTGCAGATGGTAATCAGGGTGCGTTGGACTGATTTGTGATGACGAGGCCACTACAACAAGAGATAAAAATAGCCACAGATATTGCCCCCTTCAGTGTTGTGGGGCCCAGCTGCCATTGTTGGCTCATTCACCCTCGTGCTAATTGGATGTTTTTGTCCGACGGTCAGTTATTTGTGTTTTGAACATAGTACACATATCACAGTTTGTGCTCGGCCCCAACACGTGTCTCTGGGGACGAGGGATCAAACATCACCATATATAGGAACACGATTGTTTAGGGGGAAAAAGCAGATGAAAAATAAGTATGTCAGCTTTATATATACAGCGCCTTTCATAGACCAGAGTCACCGCTTTGCATTTTTTTGGGAATTTGTTTTTCGAGATGGGAGCGAGGTCGTCTACAGGAAGCACATGCCAGACCTGTTGTACATGCTTTTAGTGGTAGGGGAAACCGGAGCACCCAGAGAAAACCTACGAAGACACAGGGAGAACGTACAAACTCCACTCAGCAAGAAGGTCCTGGGTTTTTTCTGAGAAGCCGTGCTGAAACATTGTTTTCACTGTCTCTATCATAACCCCAGCAGAGGGATTGCATCAGTAATCAGAGTTTAGGAGCTACATTCTGGCAACAGCAGTGTGATTGTAATGACTTTATTAGACTGACAATGCATGTTCCACACCGTCCCTTTAACGCGACATAGTCCATAACGTTCTGTCAAAAATTTCAGTTTCCAGTTTTTTCAGCCAGAATGAAGACAGAGCAAGCATTTGATATAACATTATGCGTCACAACAAAAACGTGCCGCCAACCCACAGGTGTTAGCTCGTCCAAACGACATAGACATGACTGAAGTGACTTTAGGTATGTGTGAGGAATAAAGGAGGATTTTCTTTTCCCAGGTGGATCATCCAGACTATTGGTCCTCCTCATTGTCAAACATTCTGTTATATTTAACATGAGGCTGTCGTATGTGTTCGTCAAACAAGACCAGAGTGTTTTTTGGGAGATCCTTTCACACGATGATGCTGAAAGCTGAGGTTGAGGTTCTATTCATCCATCCATCCATCCATTTTCTACCCTTTAATCCATTTCTGGGTCAGGGGGATGGCAATCAGAGATGCCACCCAAGTCTCATAGCACCAGCCCCTCACTGACCCTCTGCAGGTGGTGAGTCCACAGGAGGACGGCTGCTCTCTGACTGTGAGCATAGCCTTGATCTTTCAGTGGAGGCTTTGGGCAAAGTGGGGTTAAGTGTCTTGCCCAAGGACACAACGACAGCAGTCATCAGTGGGAGTCGGTGGAGAAGGTGCAGAGGTGAGAATTGAAGCCACGACCTTCTGGCCTTAAGGCCAATGCTCTACCAACTGAGCTACTGCCGCCCTATGAATAGAAAATGTATTTCTATTCAGAGAAATACATTTTTAATCACTTCCGGTAAAAGTTATTAATATCTATATGGTCTGACATAGTGGAAAAAGTGACAAATCTTCGAAAGTGAGTTTGTGTGAGCGACGCTGACAGGGACTTGTAAACAGAGCGTGCACGAGGAGAACTTGCTCGTGCACGTCTCTCACACGCTCTTTAGAAGTGAGTGTGACACAAACGGTTATACTGTAGAGCTAAAGTTAATATGTTAATAGGAAATAGGAACTAGCAGCAGGAGCAAAACTTTGTCAATGACCACTTTGTTTTTGAGCTTCATTGACCTCGCGCCTTAGTATCGTCCATCTCCGGTACACACACTCTATATGTAGCATGTAGCATGTAGCACGCACTAATGGGGAGCGTAAGGAGAGTAAGCTAACTAACTTTGATAATGTTTTGAACCTAAGCTTGCGCCGCATGTATTAAAGTGTGAGGTTGTTGTAGGAAAGCCTGAATTATTGATGGAGGAACTTGCTGTGTACAAATAGTAGCGTAATGTTAGCATGCTGTAGGCGATCCCTTTACACCAGATAATGAGCAGTGGGGTCAAGTCTCCGTTTTGCACACCACCCGTCACACCTGTCTGCAGCAGAGACACCGGAGAGAGCCACTTTTAATTAGGGCTGCATGCTTCAAAGAGACATGATGTGAGAGATCTTCTTTTTAATCCTAAACATATGTTACTAAATTATTCCCTCATCAAAAACTTCTTTTAGCTTGAACTTAATGGGCAGCACGGTGGAGCAGTGGTTAGCGGTTATGCTAAGATTCACAGAAATAAGGTCCTGGGTTCGATTCCACTTGATAGAAGTGTGCG